GGAATTGATCCAAGAATCCCTTAATCCTGGGAGCTCATCCAGGAATCCCTCCATCCCAGGGGCTCATCCCTGAATTCCTCCATCCGGGGAGCTCATCCAGGAATCCCTCCATCCCTGGAGCTCATCCAAGAATCTCTTAATCCTGGGAGCTCATCCAGGAATCCCTCCATCCCAGGAGCTCATCCATGAATCCCTCCATCCCGGGAGCTCATCCCGGAATCCCTCCATCCCGGGAGCTCATCCCGGTATCCCTCCATCCCTGGAGCTCATCCCTAAATTCCTCCATCCCTGGAGCTCATCCATGAATCCCTCAATCCCGGGAGCTCATCCCTGAATCCCTCCATCCCAGGAGCTCATCCAGGAATCCCTCCATCCCAGGAGCCAGGAACCCCTTAATCCCATGACTTCATCCCTGAATCCCTCAATCCTGGGAACTCATCCCTGAATCCCTCCATCCCTGGAGCTCATCCAAGAATCCCTTAATCCTGGGAGTTCATCCCTGAATCCCACAATCCCAGGAATTGATTCATTAATTCCTTCATCCCAGGTCCTCACCCCTGAATCCCTCAATCCCGGGAGCTCATCCCTGAATCCCTCCATCCCAGGAGCTTATCCATGAATCCCTCCATCCTGGGAGCTCATCCCTGAATCCCTCCATCCCAGGATCTTATCCATGAATCCCTCCATCCCTGGAGCTCATCCAAGAATCTCTTAATCCTGGGAGCTCATCCCTGAATCCCACAATCCCAGGAATTGATTCATTAATCCCTCCATCCCAGGAGCTCATCCCTGAATCCCTCCATCCCAGGAGCTCATCCCTGAATCCCTCCATCCCAGGAGCTCATCCCGGAATCCCTCCATCCCGGGAGCTCATCCTGGAATCCCTCCATCCCAGGAGCTCATCCATGAATCCCTCCATTCCAGGCCCTCATCCCTAAACCCCTCCATCCCGGGAGCTCATCCCGGAATCCCTTTCTCCTCCGTGCCAGGATCTCATCCCATCATTCCCCCCCTCTCCCCGCAGACGTCTCCTTCCTCTCCTTCTTCTTCAAGCGCCTGGAGCGGAACCGGAGCGGGCGCTACGAGCTGGAATTCCCGTTCCTTTCCCGCTGCGGGCGGGAGCGGAACTTCCTGCGCTGCGACGACCGGCCCGTGGTCTTCACCCAGCTCCT